CTCATCAATAGCATCATGAATAGCACTAAGTGCAATGTTATTGTTTTGAAGTACTTCTTCGACCGCAGTGGGATTCTCTGGATCGGCTATCTCAATTTTGGTATCCACCACCTTTCACACTCTTCTATTGATTGACTTGTTATGAGTGGTCATCTTTGACTTCCAATATGGATAATTTGTGCCATCAAATTAGGGTGGCTTCTTGATGTTGTTGATTTGAGCCATTTTGATACCGAAGGTTGTTAAGCCTTAAATCACGGTGACCACGGCTCCGATACCACTTGAAAGGTCCTAATGGCTAGAGGGGGGTGAATAGCCTATAAAAATTTCTACAACAACACTACGTAAAGCGGTTAGACAAATATGAGGCGAAACGAATGTTGCGCTAGCCTACTAAGAATACAAGCCACCTAACACAATTCTAGTTGCTATTGTCTATAAGCAATCAAAGGCTGTGTCCCTACATTAAATTAGTGTGCTCTCAAAGACTAACTAAAGAGCCTCACTAACTACTAGATACAACTCTTGCTTGCCCTCAAAACTAGCTACACTAAAGGGCCAAGCTACACTAAGAAATGTAAATGCGCAGGAAGGATGGAGTGTTATACCACCGTGTAGAGGAATGAGCCAATCACCAAAGGAGCCAATTAATCACAAGAATGAATACCAATGAAGACCAATCACCTCGGAATCAAATGGTGACACAATGATTTTTTATCGAGGTTCACTTGCTTGCCGGCAAGCTAGTCCTCGTTGTGGCGATTCACTCACTTGGAGGTTCATGCGCTAATTGGCATCACACGCCAAACCCTCAATAGAATGCCGCACAACCAACACAAGATGAGAATCACACAAGACACGCACAATCCACTAGAGTTGCCTTTGGTGCTCCACCGGGGAAGGCACAAGAACCCCTCACAATCAAAATGATTGGAGCTGGAGACAATCACCTTCCTTCACTCGATGATCAACCAATCACCGGGCCATCTAGGTGTTGGCAAACACCAAGAGTAACAAGAACTCCACCAGTCCAAATCGCCCAACTAGTGTCACAATATGCTAGAACACTAAGCAATGCACTGGAGACTCTCCAATCTCACTCAAGATGAAATCAAGTGTGCAAGTGAGTGAAGTGGTGTGCTTAGCTCTCAAAGGGTGTATGCAGGTGTTAGAAGTGCCAAGAGGGTGGCCAAGGCCGGCCACTAGCTCTATTTATAAGCCCACAAACAAATAGAGTTGTTGCCCCTTTGGAGCAGCTTTCTGCGAGGGCACCGGACATGGCGGTGCCCCTCCCAATGGTCACTTTTCAACGGCTAAAAACTAGCCGTTAGGGCACTGGATAGGGTGGCGGTGGCACCGCCCCTAGGGTGGCGGTGACCACCTGACCATCTGCCTGAATACCCCCTTCTCTGGATTTTTATGGCGGTGCACCACCCTCAGGGTGGCGGTGCCCGCGACGGTGACCAACCCCATTTCACCCGTCTCTGGAAGAAAATGGTGGTGGCACCGCCCTCCTCGCGGCGGTGACCGAGTGGTGCACTGCCCTTATGGCGATGGTGTACACCGGACGCACCGGTGCCCGCTTCACTTCTCCTGAGTCTCGGCCATGTCCAGGTTGGCATCGCCCTAGGGGTGGCAGTGCCACCGGACATATAGTGGCGGTGCCCTAGGGCAACTCGCTGCTGTCGGCCTCCCAGCCGGTTACCACCACAGGGATGGCGGTGCACCCGACAAGGGGTGGCGGTGCCCCTATGGCAGCCCCCATGCCGAGTTTCGCCTCCTTTTATTCACCTTTCTCACCACTTTTGCAAATGTGCTAACACTAAGTGTTTCACCATCACGTGCAAGTGTGTTAGCATTTTCATAATCATTTTTCAAAGGTTAATCACTTCTTACCTATTGTGCACTAGGCCTAAAATGCATATGCAAGTTTTCCAACACCTAGTGGCGCTAGATGATCGAGTTGTCCGATAAGAGCTCCCCTCTTAATAGTACGACCATCTATTCTAAATATGATCACACTCTCTATAGTGTCTTAGATCACTAAAAACAAAAATAGCCCTATTGATATCACCTTTGCCTTGAGCCCATTTTATTTTTCTCTTTCTTCTTTTCTAAGTCCCGGAGCTTGATCACCATCATCACATGTCCACAAACACCACTATGGACCTCATCTTGCTCCACCACTTGGATTGGACCATCCTATCTAGTCACACACTTAGATGAAAGGATTAGTCCAACTAGGTTTCATCAATTATCCAAAACCAAACTAGGGCTTTAATCATATATGTTGAATTTGCAATGCATCACATCTGCAAATACATTTTATTTTGACTTGCGAAACCAGTTCAGCATCTAGTAGGAATCATATATCCTAATTTTAACCCGTAACTTAAGTGCACTGTATCTGAAGCTAAGTGTCAAGTGTGCATAATAATTAAACAAAAAACCATGGAAGATATAGCATGATGTGATATATTCTTCAATCTAATAACATGGAAGATATGGCAACAGACACAAGTTGATCAAGTTGAAGCTGTGAGCAATTCTCTGTAAACAAAATAACATTTTGTTCTGTAATAACCCTATTACAGAACCAAAATTAATACAATAGGTTATCCTAATATTTGTCAAAAGGCAACCTCATATGCCTAACTACTACAGAAGAGGGGAAAAGAAAACCTATCTGCTTTACAGAACCAGTGCACTACCACATGATACCAATCATCAATCTAAAACTAACAATTTACAAGATATTGCTGCTACTACAATGCATGCTGTTAAATGAAATATCCTTTCAAAACATGCACCAGTAATCATTTATGCCAACTAATCAGTCAGTACCAGAGGTTATGCATATGGGCAAATTCTCTTGCTCACTGGCACGTGCATATGCCACTCATCAGCAAGGCTAGCCATCCCCATCTCCTTAGCTTGCTTGCACAAATCTCTCTCCATGTCTAGAGCTCCTCGCTGCATATCTACCGCCGATCCATCCGCTACTGATCTATGCCAATCTATATATGCAGCTCATGCATCTAACCTACATGCCGTCACACAATCAAACCCCATGCAGGAAGCCAGAGTTATGCCGTCACTGGATCCATAGAAGAAAAAAAAAACGGGAGAGGATCCACGTCTGACTCACCAGGCTTGAAGAAGATGGAGAGGCGAAAAGTCGATAACCTTGAGCGGTGAGTTCCAAGACCTAAGAAACGATGGAGATGCGGTTCAAACTTCAAACCCTAACGGATCGAGGAACGGGGAAGGAGATGTGTTTGAAGGAGAGCTCACCTGCGGAGGCGGAGTTCTGGTGCCGTTGTCCGAGGCGATGGCGCACGGGAGAGGATCTACGGCGGCATGGGCGCGCAGGTAGGTCGAGGGCGACGCACGGACAGGTCGAGGGCAGCTGCGTGGGAACCTTGCGATCTGGATCTAGGCCGCGCAGGTGAAGCTTTGCAGCGGTGGAGGCGGCGGCGGTGCGGAGAAGCTACGCCATGGCGGCGGCACGATGGAGTCGAGTCGGGGAGGGAGCGGCGTCGGGATGAGTCGGGGAAGGGAAGGAAGGCGACAGGAGGGGGATTCTGAGCGTTTCGGATGGGCTGGGGCCCGAATCGGGAGCATGCCACCATTTCATCGGTCGGAAACGGGCTGAAATGGTGAATTCGATTCTGGGGTCACCCAAACGGGCCGGTATGCGGAATCTGATTCAGTTCAGTCCAATTCAGGGAACAAGCCCTTAGAGATAATGAAAAAAAAAATCCCAAGTTCATTTCAAAAAAGAAAGCAATTCTATGCCACCAGGGAGAGAAGTATGAAGCTAGTTTGTTCTTAGAACATCTAGTTTCACTCGTAAATTTTCTTAAAACAAAGCATCCGTCGGTCACAAGATGAAAAACAGACTAGGCCATTGAGATCGGTGGGCTGCTATCAAAATTGGAGGACATCTTGGGCCCACTATCCTTTTACACTAGTATGCCGACGGGCCTAGCCTGATTACGAAAACGAATTTGAGCTTCCTTTCGGCTGCTCTCTCGTGCCAGTGTAGACGCTTCGAAACTGAGCAGAGGGCGATTAAAAAAAAAAGAAACTGAACAGAGGGAGCAAAAAAAAAATAAGGCAGAATCTTTGCATACTGGCAGACAGTAGCCATTTATGGCCAGCATACTGGCACATGTACATTGTCATGTATGGCATGTGAGCCTGTCAATACTTAATACTCCGCAGACTCAGCATAAAAAATTTCTGCTCTCGGAACAGCAATAACGTTGAGATGAAGTACAGAGTACGCCATCCAAATTGCATAATTATAACTGCAAAGCAACATTTTAAAGTCTGAACCAAGTGACCTCAAAATTTTACCCGTCTTGCAAGCAGGTATTGTACTCACGTATAGTTAGTATAGCAATCAACCACCAAAGTACTAGCAGATAGACAATCAAGGGGTTCCGCGGAGGAATGCAAAGGCAGAACTTAAGAAAGAACGTATTCAATTCAACAGCCATGAAAACAACAAGGACCCTTCTGTTTTAGTTATTTCAGAACAGAACAAAGAATCGAGGAAAAAAGAAAGAAAGAGAAAAGGAGTCATTTCGCATAACTTATGTCATTACAAACACCTCTGGAACGAAACAAAATCAGTAGAATTTTAAACGATTGTAATACATACAGTACAGTCCACTAGTAAAATTATTATTTTTTGAACAAAGCTACCACTAAAATTTATTAATACTAGCCAGTACCCCGCGCGGTGCCGCGGGCGATAATAGCAAGCAATCGGTGCAGAGGCAATGCTATTTGTTAGCTTTGACATAGAAAATAATTAACTTTAATATAACCAAGTATTTTGAGATGAAATGCTGGAGCAAATAAAATCAGAAAGTGGCATTTTATTGGAAGGAAGGGAATTGTTTGCAGATCATATATACAATTATACATCACTGCTCTGGCATCGTAATCTAGAAGTATGGTTTAAGTCTAAAAAAATATTGGACCCAAACCTACAGGATCGGCGTCCCTGCAAGATAGGTAGCCTTGCTGGATGGTACAACCTGTAAATGAACAAAAAATGACTAATCAAACCAATGAAACATAGCAGAACATGTAATCATTGTAAGATAGGCCAATACATATGAGGTCTTCACCCTTCAGGTAAGTAGCATACATTAGTGGAAAGGCAGATTAATCAGAAAACACATTAAAGAGGTTGCAGATTTGTACAACTAAATTTTATAGGCAACCACTCCTTTCAGTAAGCCACCAATGTTTGGGGGATTCGTCAAATGTTTGTTTATTAAGATTTATTGATCTTAGCGACAAACAAAAATGGCTACAAAAGCACATCAATATTAGTCATGAAAATATATATGAAGTGTTTGGTGCTAAGCACAAAGGAAGGGAGCTGTTACCTTGTGCAGAGATGGAGGGAGTACGCAGCAGGCAAAGCCACCGGGAGCGGAGGAGTCCGGAGGAGGCCTCGCTGGGCGCTTCGGCTCCGGTAAGGGCTGCGTGCCCTCTGTGCTACGGTGCTGTAAGCTGCAACTACCGACAATGCGTGTTGTACCACATTCTGATACCTGCAAAAAAAGAAGTCTCCCTTAAGATCACAAATTGTATACACATGCTGAAATGAAGTCTTGAATCACATATATCGCATTAAAAGGAAAAAGGGTTACATGATGAGGCATTAGCAATTCAGGGACAGTGCGTGATTGGGGGTTTTCTTTCATAGAGTAATCCACAAATTGCAAAGTTCAGATTATTTCCAAAGCTGTAAACTAATAAATAGTGAGGACAAATAATTTCACCTTTGTCAAGGGCTGAACACAATTGCAGCACCAGTATTTGGTATGGCATCCCATTGCTCCATACATCTAAGAACACCATTAGTTTGTCCGCACTACCTTTTCTGCAGAGTAGATCAATAACAGTAGGACAGTTAATCCACTAACCGAAGATATGTTTGGGATACAGTATCACTGCGCATAAGTATCCAATGTAGCACTTTTATTCGACAATCACTGAAGTCCATCTTTCCTCTGAAATATGCCATCCCAATTGAAGTGCTTCATACAGAAAAGATGTTGTCATGCCTAATAAATTTATTGTAATCACTATCAACATTCTAAATATTTCTTAAGCGATAGTTGTTTAACAGATACTATAACATCTATGAAGCAGATTAGCAGGAAGATGAGACTTTCTAATAACAAAATTCGTGCATGTTGTAGTAACCACCATGTAGTAACTATGAAACAAAGCTGAATTTTCTAGGGGTGAGGATGGGAGTTAGATAAAATTCTGACCCCTCTAGACCTCTGAATCCGACCACAATTTATTTGATTTTCTAGGGGTGAGGACGGAGAACAATATGCAGCAGTATGAAGGCACGCCCCTACAAGATTCGATCTAGAACGATTACAATCAATTTCCCACGCTTGCTCAAAATCAGCGAATTTGATCGTTTGGAATCAAGACTCGCTCGAAATCAAAGGAAGGGGAACATTTGAAGTTTAACTTGGCTCCAAATCAAGGGATATACGACGAAATACCTGGAATCCCGATGGAGGAATAGTTGGAGCCTCCCCAAATTGCACGAACCCTAGCTCGTCGCTGCCTCGGTGGAAGAATGGAATCGGTTGGGGAGAGCGGAAAACAATTCAATGGCATCCGTTGCCACGCTATTTATATGGCACTGGCTTGATCTTTCGAAAAAATATGGCACTGGCTTTAATAATACGGCACGTATTCCATCATATCTTCCTTTTTTTCGAGCAGACGTGTTCCATCGTATCTGTGCGGCGGGTAGGCCACTTTTTTTTAGACTTTCTATTAGGCCTACTTTGGAAGCACCGGGGAAGGAACCCCGGGCTCTATTCCCTCAGGACGTGGCAACAGAGGGTAATTAACCAAGGGAAGAAAGCACCTGCTGGAGGGGAGATTTCACGTGGGGGGTTATTTCCCTGCGGCTGTTTGGGAGTATGCAGATGCAATGGGAGACGGATGTTGGCATCAAACAGCTCTAGCACAAACAACAGTCAGATAAGCATGCATGCATGGATGAATCCTTCCTGATGGCTCACGGGCTTCTCTGCTGTGCATGTACAATGCCCAGGGTTCCAGGAATAAGTCGGCTTATTTGATAACTCTACTATAGATAAAGTATAAAAACATCTTAAAAAATAAGAAAATTCAGAAAAGAAAAATAATACAAGAAAGTCACTACATATCAATGCTAGCACCACGTAGTGATGAATAAATCTCAGGAATAAGTCTGTTTACATAACAGATTTGGCTTTTCCAAACAAGTTTGTATATGACTGCATCAAGTGGCAATTATTATTTGACATAGTTCAATACGTAGTGTTCAGAGAGGAGAGAAAAAAAAACTCCTTTACATAAGCTTCTCACATATCCACAGCAGCCAGTAAAAACAATTTTTTTCTCAAATCATACATTGCTTCCACCAAGAGCTCTGCAAGTAAACAAGGAAAAACATTAGTAGCTAGAGACATACCTAAAGTAAACTAATCTAGTGCTGCTAGGATACATCAATTTAAACCAAGGGTAAACTACATGGTATGCCACAACAAGCAAATTACAAATGTGGAGAAGTTGTCGGCACACATGAAAATTAAATTTTGGTGCAGCTGCAGGTTAGTCATGAACCAACACAAAAGTCCTAGGATGTAACTTTACAGTTGAACATATTTACAGCCAATACATTGAACACATTTACAACTACTCTACGAAACCAAGGCAGTGGAAATTCACTCAATTTGGAGTGCAGATTGACGTGTGTACTCTTATTGAAGTGAGCATTGTATTAAGCTGTACTCTGTGCAGCTAGTCAACTCCGATCAAAAGCTAAAATCTCAAATCTACCTCTAATCATCATCCAGCAGGCAAGCACAGCAGCTGAACAAACCAAGACTACAATATTCACAGCCTAGCACAGCTAAGCTGAAAAAAACACCTCACCCTGCTCATAACCAAGGCAAATCATCTCGCCCTCTTCAAGCTTCCTCTTGAGAGGCTTAAGATCCAACACTGATTGCATAATGAGACAGTGCTACATCTACAAACAAATTGACCATCTCCTACACTGCACATCAAGCTACATCACAGAAAACTACCTTCATATATACCCCAGATATTAGAAGGGCAGATTCAAATAATATACCTGTATACAATGATTGTAGCTGTATTTTTCTTCTCAATTCAAACATTGCCTCCACCAATATTGCCTCCACCAACATTGCCTCCACTAATAGCACTGTAAGTAAGCACAAGGAAAAGCATTAGCAACTAAGACATACCAAAGTAATACTAATCTAGTGCTAATTAGTACGGGGAACAGATATACCTAATCTGGCGCTTGAGCCAAATAAAGCGAACATTTTTGTTTTCCATTTTCATGAATACCTCCCTGCCTATCTCAGATTTGAAGATATCCATAGCATAAGCCTTCTCCCTATCAGTAAGTCCAACCATTGCGTCTACTTCATCGAGATACTTGTGGACTGAAAATTCTTCGTCTTGTTTCTTCTTTTCATTGAGCTCTTCCAAGGTTTTGCTTGTTTGCATCTTCTTAAACTGCACAAAATCCTCAATAGCAGAACCAATATGACTTCGCTTACGCTTTTTCCCACCCCATGCTCCTTGCACAGAATCTTCATTGGAAGGTGCAGATTGAGCTTCATTATGTGCACTCGAGAAGTCTATCCCATCTAAACTAGCAAATGGATTTGTGCTCTCAGAGAGTACAGTGGGAGCAACTGGAGCAGCGGGAGCAAGTGGACCATGAGCAGGAGCAGGTTCCAAGTTCTCGGTTGATGTGAAGTTTAGATCTCCTGTAGCCACACTTTCTATGCAAAAAAAAAACAGTGCACAGTCATACTTCAAGTGTAGGCATTCTATAACTTAAACTGAAAGCATTGCACAGTCATACTATCAAGTTAGATGGTGCTTTACTCTCAAGTAGAATAATAAGGCTACATAACCTTAGAGAAGTTTCAAATAACATACCAGCATAATGACGTGCAATCTTCATATAAAGGAAATGGCTTCTTCTGAAACCTTGCCATTTTTCCATTATCCTATTTAATACCAAGACAACAGCATAGTTAGTGCTTGCAACCAGAATATGGCAACAATTTTTTGGTTCAGTGAAAAATTCTTACACTGATCAGTTTTTTCCATTTTGGCGGTTCCGCAATCACCATGGCCAATGAGTCATTCCAACCAACACCACTTTCCTTTCTCGCATCTCGTATCACCTTCCAGCTGCCCTTTAACTCATTTTCCTTCTCTTGTAGCTGTTGCTTTGTGAAGTGTGCAAAAGGAAACATCTGGTTGAACTTTTCTGAGATACTTCTCCAGCCCTCTCCACTCCATCCATTCTGACCCCTGAACATTGGGATGTTCACATGGTCTCTCATCGTGTCAACAAGTAGAGAAAACAAGTGTAAACAAAAAGAAAAAGGGAGAAGGCATTCAAGTTGTGGTATGTTCCTCTAAACTTTCATGATTGCCACAACTAAGCCCCATAAACTTGAAAAACTAGGTGTGCAGCTCCTAAATTTGCTTATATGTGCAAGTTAATAATACTGACTTAGCTAACAAGACTGACTTGTCTGTACATCAGCTGATGGCCTCACTGGTCACTGTTGTAGCAATATTGCTACCTTGCTACAGCCCAAGCCTATCATGGACTCTGCGAGTGTGCAAAGCTGAGTATCCAGCTATTTCCCATAGCTAATTTAATAAGCAATGCTACACAAAATGCTTGAACAAGAATCATAAACAATTTTAGATATGCTAGCGCTTCCGGTACATACCACATACCCAGTGCACATGTATGATAGGAAAGAAAACCAAATTAATTCCACAAACTTAAATATTCACAATTTTCATAATTGTTGTGTGCACGTAACCAATTATATCAAACTTAAATATTGCACATGTGCTGACATTGTGAACTTCATCGGTACAATACTTTTAGAACAACCACTGATATAACTCATAACATTGCAAATATATTGATATGACAGCATGGACAAAAAATAGTGGGCCATACATGCTCAAATGGTGAGCAATCATCAGACAAAACATGATATTCTCAGTATGCTACTACAAGCACATACAATGAGTAAAAGTTACACATCCAAGTCGCAGGAGCTCGATCTGGGGAGGAGAGAGGAAGGGCTCACCGGATCTTGGGACGAGGCAAGGTGGCCAGGCGGGGGCAGTCACGGAGCAGTGGACAGATTGAGTCGGTGGGTGGCGGCGGCACTTGCAACCGGGTGTCAAGGTGGCGGCTGTAGCCCCAAGATCTGCAAGAAATAGTCTGTGAGAAGAGAGGATAAGAGAACCGAAACCCTAGCGTGCACAGAGATGTAGGTTGAGGCGGGCTCACCGTTGGCGTGAGCCGAAGAGATGAGAAGGCGGAGGAGTGGCAGCGACGGGATGATGGGGCGGCGGCAGCCTCGTGACCCTCCCAGCCTCACGAGTCGTGGATTTCTACCACGTGGAAAAGGAAGGGAAGCGGCGGCTAAAGATCCTCGGGTGGGTGGGTTGCCAAAGAGCGCAACAATTTGGCCTGGGAGAGATCGGCACGGGGAAACCGCTGGGATCCCTCCGAGAAAATGGGCTACCAAAGTAGGCCAAGCTCCCTTTGTCCCCAATTAAATTAATTCCTATCGATGGCAGTGGAGGAGACGAGGTGGACCGAGTGCGTGAGAGCCTCCCTATGAGAGAGAGCCCCAGTGACGTCCAGCCTCCGGCCCCCTATTCTTCTTCTCCGGCGAGCTCGCCGGCAACGAGGGTAGGTGGGCCAGCCCTTCCCTTCCTCCTCCTTCCAGTAGTCCCTGTAGTGGAATAAGTGCCCCGGTATGGGTGTTTCGAGGATTTCTGTCCTCCTCATCTTTGTTTATTTGGTGGTGGGTAGGTTGCTCACGGCCATGGTGGCCGGCGTGAATCTCCTCCAAAGCGACGAGATGAGTATTTCAATAAAGCCCCCTTCTCCCATGCTTCTTCCTTGTTGTCTCCATGGCCATGTGGGCTCCATGGTGCCGCCCCCATCCATGGCGAGCCAAGGCAGAAGTACGCTCCGCAACAACTCCAACAACAGTGGTGTCAAGGTCACCTGTAGCAACAAGGTCAACATTAAGGGCAGTCGGGGGAGTTTTGGTGGTGGACTGCTGAGCATCGGATCACCGGTCCATCATGGCATCCGCGCCTACGAAGAAGACCTGCTCTTCCCTCCCCTAATTCAGAGGTCCATCTGGGGTCTGGCGCACACACGTGGGAGCGCCTTGCTGCTGAGTGCAGTGTGGACGCACGGATTCTGGGCTATCTTCCTCTATGGAGGGAGATGAACCAGATCTGGGGCCAATGCCCCCCACACGATCAGTCATAATATAATATTTTTCTCTCACAACAAAATAGCATCATTTGGCTTATAAGCCGTAGAAACGATCAAGCGAACAGGGTGAGCAGCGACGCATGCGGTGGAGGCGTCTTCGCCGCGCTCGGTTCCCCTGGCCTTGCAGCGGCCGGGCGAATGGGGAAACTGGCGCCCGCAATCTCAGATTTGGAGGCGGTCGGACCCTATCTTCCAAGCTACCTCCTAGACTGCGGAGGTAGCACCGGTGATTTTTTATTATTTCTAACACTTTTTTTAAACTATTTCTAAATTTCACACTGAATTTTTTTATTTTCAAATCTAACACTTTTGGCCGTGCCTATTGCCACGGCGCGGTCAAACAACGCTAACGCACCATGCTTGGCGGCGCGGTAGCGGCGATGACGTGGCACTTCCCCCGGCCCTGGCCGCTGACGTGGTAGGCGCTGTCGTGCCGCAGATCTTGGCACGGCAGTGTCGCGCCATCGCACACGGCGCAGCGAAACCGCATCTAAGCGATGCGCCCTGGCTCCCTCCCTCCCTCTGTCTGTCACTGCGTCAAGGCCGGACGCCTGCGTCCCACGCCCGCACCATTCGCTAGCTTCGTCCCTCGCTCCCGTGAGGCCGCGCCCCTACCGGTCACCTCCCCCGCCCTCCCTCCCTCCTTGTTGGCATCCAGGAGGCTGCGCCACCGCCGTTCCCCCCCCCTTGGGCGGTCGCCGCCTGCCCTCCCTGGCTGCCTACCTCCCTCCCTCCTCCGAGCTTCTCCTCGGCCTCCATCAAGGTATTCATGCTCTTATTTGTTGTTTGAACTGTGGATTCAAAGATTATGATTGGTAGCGAGGGATTGGTAATGGAGGATTCCTACTTAGGGTTTGGACAAAAAGATTAGTTAATTTTCTCTATGTGAAGGCTAATTAGTTAGTTATAACTATTAATTAGAACTATCGGTGCGTAAGTGTAGGTTATATTTTCTTTGTTTTAATGCAAATGGTTCACCTTTACATTGCTTTAGTACTTTTTTGTTTTACATTAATTTGTGATGGTTTGATTGATGTTAAATTACAACCGTTTTATTAGATGGAAGACATATATCGGGAGCAGTTATGGCGAAAACAGGGTCGTCCTAGAGAATTATACCCCGACGCGTCTAGCAAAGATGCCCCCGTCCCTCCTGACCTCCTTGTCCCTAACGGTTACTGTGGTCGTCTGACCGATGTGTTTCAATCAAGATATCAAGACATAGCTGCGCGTTGCTTCTACACATGCAGTCATTTTAATGTAACTGATTCTTTTCGTACCTTTTTTCTTTATTTATGTTACGAGGTTACTAATATTTTGTTGGAATCTTGTTGTGTAGGCCCATGAGAGGTGCTTTTTCTTTCAGTGGATTGACGGTCTAGATAAGTTTGACCTAAGGTACCTCCTTTTCGACGATTGGTGGAGAGGGAGACATCCACGTGAGCACCTTGAGCGGTGGGTTCCACCTCCCCCTAACCCCCCACCAATGACAGCTAAGGAGAAGCACTTAGCCACAGTTAGACGACTTGAGAAACCTCCTCTGTGCGAATGCAGAGATCGAGCTGTGATAAACCCTAGAAATACGTTGGAGTTTGTGTGTCCAAACAAGCATGAAGTAAATGGGAAGTGTATCTGTTGAAATGTTGAGCTATATGTGTTCATGTACTAATGTCACCTTTTTAGGTGTTTTCAATGGAGAAGTGTGAAAGGTCCTAATGGCTAGAGGGGGTAAATAGCCTATTAAAAATTTCTACAACACTTAGCAAACTGGTTAGACAAATATAAGGTGAAGCGAGTGTTGCGCTACCTACTAAAAAGCAAGCCACCTACCATAATTCTAGTTTCTATAGTCTCTATCCACACAATGGCTATGTTACTACACTAAGTTAGTGTGCTATCAAAGGCTAACTAAAGAGCCACACTAATCAAACTAACAAGCTCTCTCGACTAGCTACACTAAAGAGCACAACTAGTTTGTGGTAATATAAAAGAGAGAGAGAGAGAGAGTAAGATGGTTATACCATCGAGTAGAGGAATGAACCAATCAATCACAAGAATGAATACCAATCACCTCAGAATCAAATGATGACACAATGATTTTTTACCGAGATTCACTTGCTTGCAGGCAAGCTAGTTCTCGTTGTGGTGATTCACTCACTTAGAGGTTCACGCGCTAATTGGCATCACACGCCAAACCCTCAATAGGGTGCCACACAACCAACACAAGACGAGGATCACACAAGCCACAAGCAATTTACTAGAGTACCTTTTGGTTCTCCATCGGGGAAAGGTCAAGAACCCCTCACAATCACCACGATCGGAGCCGGAGATAATCACCAACCTCCGCTCGACGATCCTCGCTGCTCCAAGCCGTCTAGGTGGTATCAACCACCAAGAGTATCAAGCGAATCCCGCAACAAAATGCGAACACCAAGTGCCTCTAGATGCAAACACTAAAGCAATGCACTTGAATTCACTTCCAATCTCATAAAGATGATGAATCAATGATGGAGATGAGTGGGAGGGCTTTGGCTAAGCTCACATGGTTTCTATATCAATGCAAATGGCCAAGCGAGTGAGCTAGAGCCATCCACATGCCTTTAAATAGAGCCCCCAATGAAATAGAGCCATTGGCTCCTCAGTCTTCTAAAACACGGGCTGACCGGACGCGTCAGTCAGGTTGACTGGACGTAGGACCTCAGCGTCCGGTCGCCCGATGCTCACCACGTGTCATCAGCCTCAAATGCTGAGCGCCCGATCTTAATGGCTAGTCAGGTTTGCGCCATGTGATAAGTTATGACCGGACACACTGCAGTGTAAGACCGGATGCACTGTCGCCTGGCGTTCGGTCACTTCCAGTAAGGTTCCAGAGGCAGAAATTCATGACCAGACGCGTCCGGTGGCTCATGACCGGACCCAGGCCTGTGTCTGGACAACTCAGCCTCTCTCTGTTGCTTACGTCAGCGTACGTCACTAGGTGACCAGACGCACCCCCTGTGTGTCCGGTCCCTCTTT